CTTATTCCGCGCTAGGACAAGCCACCACGCCTGGGGATTTGTTTACATTCTGCTCGGCGGCGCTTTCCTTCTCCTTTCTCCGGGGGAAGGCGTTTTCGTTCAAAGAGCGCGCCCTTCCGCGGGCGCTCTCCCCTCCTCTCCCGCCTCTCTTCGAGGGAGAGAAAGCATGCACCCTTTCCCCCTCCGAGCTAAACTCGTTTCCGTCGCTAGCCCTGCCGCCGGCGTGGCTATTTCGGTCTGCTGCGCGCGCGACTGCTGCGACGCGCGCGCAATTCAAACCGCTCGCTGGCAGGCAGCCAGCGGGCACACGCCCGCCACGTGTTCCTCGCGCGCGCCGATCGTCTTCGGCGCGCCGCGGGGGCGTGGCACAACCGCTCGCTTTGAGCGGGGACCATGGGGGTCTTCGACCTCCGGTCACGATGGAGAGGCCACAGCTCCGTGGGCCCTGACCTCGTCAGCGGCACTAAAGAGTGGCCCCCTTGTCTGGGAAAGGCACCGTCAATCTCGCGGCGTGGGGCCGCGAGATACGTCGCGTCCGCGCGGTGCTCTGGGCGTCGTGCGGAGGCGGCACCCTTGTCCGGGTAGGGCCGTTCAACCGAAACAACATAAGACCCGTCCCCCTCCCAGGGGCGGGACCCTTACCGGGTTGAACGTAATTGGATGATGAAGGGTTGATGAGTGACATGTACTCTGGGACGAGGCGCTTTCGAGAGCCAACTCCTCTTCCTTTCTGACAACGGTAGGGGTTGGGGAAGGGTGGCGCCAAGCGTCATCGAAAGGTGTTGCGTGACAACATCCAGGGCATAACCAAGCCGGCCATCCGTCGTCTGGCGCGCCGTGGCGGTGTCAAGCGCATCTCTGGCCTCATCTACGAAGGAAACTCGCGGCGTTCTCAAGGTGTTCCTCGAGAACGTGATCCGCGATGCCGTCACTTACACCGAGCACGCCAAAAGGAAGACCGTGACAGCCATGGACGTCGTGTACGCCCTCAAGCGTCAGGGCCGCACCCTGTACGGATTCGGAGGCTAAGAAGCCAGCGGCGTCGCCTGCAGCCAGCCAACGAGAACACAACAGCCCTCTTCAGGGCTACCCACTTGATGCTTCGGCAGTGTGATCCCAGCGGTTCGCCATACCCGCCCGTCCCTCTTTGCAATATCATTGCGTCATCGCTCAGGTGAGCAGCACCTCGTGTAGTAGTAGCCTGATCGCGCTGGGTACTTGTCACGTTCACCGCATTTCGTTCGCGTCGTCGTCTTTCTCCTGGGTCTGCATGCACGAATCAATCGCCGCATCTGCGAGTTCTTCCTCTCCTTCCTGCAAGCCAAGCTGCTAAAACGGGCCCGTCAAGCGAACGTCGCCTAGTTAGTTACCTTATCGCGCGAAGGAAGAAGCCGAGCGCAGCGTTCTACCCTGGTCACTGCATTCTTGGAGACACGACTATGCTCAGGAAGCACGAACTCGCTTTTCTGTTTGGAATGCCCACTACACGATCGCGTCACGTTGTGTCGAAATAAATAAAAACGCCCTATGTTCTACCGTGGGGCACGCAGACGAAGAACGGCTGTGTACTTACAAATGAAAATTGATTGTGACAGGTTGGTCGTGTTTACCGCCGTGCACTCAGAAGTGCCCCATTCAAGAACACATTGTGTACATTGTCCCGCCTAATTTTTTTTTTTCCACACCTGGCGCTGCCAAGCTGTAAAAAAAAAAAAGCAAGAAAGAAAAGTGGAAGGGGATGTTTAAACAATTTTCTGCGCAAGTCAGAAGCAAGTACACAATAAGCGCTGCCCATGCGGCGTGCTGAGGCAAGCTGCACTTGATAGAAGTGGCACTCATGTACTGTACTGGTGCTGCGAACACTGCAGTTGTGAAAGCTTTACTTGGACGGACAGCCACGCAACAAGTGTTTCCATTTCGCCGGCAGAGGTGGTCACTCTAGGGAGGCTGGCTTCGGCCGCCCACGCGAGAGGGGGAGGGGGACTGGCCCATGTAAACGCGAAAGGTTCGAGCGCGGGAAATTCGAAAGCAAGGCGCGCTCGCGTGAGCCTGCCGTCAGATGGCGACACCAACCCACGAGCAATGCATTTTCAAGTGCACCCTTCTTTTCCCACCCCCCTCCGCACAGGAAGAGGCGTGTCGAATGTGTAACCAAGGCGCACGACAGTGGTTCTGCTCAGGCAAGCCTACCTATAACAAAAATTGTTCTCCAAGTGTGTACCTTCATTTTCTCGTGAAAATGTGAAAGCCGAGTGAATGGGGCTTTTTGAGGCGCGTGTTGATCTTCCTTTCTATTATGATTATTATTTTTCACCCTTTCATTGAGTCCATTTCCTGCTTTTTGTGCCACATATTTAGCACTTAGAGGTGGGGGGGGGGGGGGGATTGCTGATGTGTAAGATGGAAACGAAGAGGAAAGTGAGCCCCGAAACTGCCTGCATCAGGATGCGACACCTCAGCGGTAGCTCACAAGGGATGGGGGGTGAGGAGGGATTAAAAGGATAGGAATAAAGGTGTAGAGAAAGAGAGATGAGGGAAGCCAGAGTGAGACGACATATCGAGGGAATAGGAGTAAAAATGAAACAAAACATTCGAACGCAAACACCCCGTACATCCAACCGCCATTGAGCGCACCTAGTTGTTTGGCAAGTATGTATGAGTGATTCTTAAGAGGGAAAGGAAGATAAAATTGAGTCCCGTTACTGTCTGCTATTGAGCAAGTAGGCGCGCTCAGTGGCAGTTGGATGTACGGGGTGTTTGTGTTAGAATGTTTTGTTGCATTTTACTCCTTGTCATTGCGCGGACGTGTATGCATATACCAACACTGCCGGTGGTCTCTCGTCGTCTTCGCCACTCTACGTAATGGTCGCAAATGAGCGACAACGCAAGGAGCAAGTTTTTTTGGCGTGGCAGTGCGCATTTGGCCTCGGTGATGCGAGGCGCGCTGTTGGCGTGAATGGTGGCGTCTCGCACTCCGTCGCGCCCCTTCGGGAAGCGACGAGCTACAGCGTCGATTGATGTGTTGCCTGGAAGGCGAAAGAAATGCGCAGCAGGCTGTATTGTACAGCGGTAGTGGTTTCGTTTCGGTGTACCTCTTTGCAGCCGCGAACTGCACGGTTGCCCGAAAATGAGCGCCAGCCAGCATCCTGGCGCACGCTTCCGCGCTCGCACGCGGACGGGTTCTCACGCGTCGGCCAATGGGAGGGAGAGAGATGGGTCGTGCGGCGAAGCCGCTTGCCGTTCTCCGGCAGGAGCGCAGTTTCGCTCCGTCAGTCGAGGTGATCGGACGTACGAACCATGGCCCGAACTAAACAAACCGCGCGCAAGAGTACCGGAGGCAAGGCTCCGCGTAAGCAGCTTGCTACCAAGGCTGCTCGCAAGAGTGCCCCTGCCACAGGCGGGGTGAAGAAACCTCACCGTTACAGGCCTGGAACCGTGGCCCTGCGTGAAATTCGCCGATACCAGAAGTCGACCGAACTGCTGATCCGCAAGCTTCCCTTTCAGCGCCTGGTGCGGGAAATCGCTCAGGACTTCAAGACGGACCTCCGTTTCCAGAGTTCTGCCGTGATGGCCCTTCAGGAAGCTAGCGAGGCCTACCTCGTTGGTCTTTTCGAAGACACCAACCTGTGCGCCATCCACGCTAAGCGCGTCACCATCATGCCAAAGGACATCCAGCTGGCTCGGCGCATTCGCGGTGAGCGCGCCTAAGTTGGGCTGCTCCCTGCGCTTCGGTCGACAGGCAAGCAACAACAAACGGTCCTTCTCAGGACCACCAACGTGTCTGCTTTGGCTACGAGACCACTCCAGGCCACGTACTCCGGCCGCACCCTCTTTTGCTGTCATGTTTTGTACGTTCGTGGCTGCGCTGTCTAGCGAGCGGAAGAAAGGAACGTCGGCGCGTCGTTATTACGAAGAAATGGCTCAGCTTTGACAATTCAAGGTAAAAGTGTGTACCATTATGAGTAGACAGAGAAAAGGTAGGCTAGCTTCAGTCGGTGTGTGTGCAGCAGCCGTGCTGCGAACCTGTGGTGTGTCAATTTCATTTATGTGTTTACCTTTTTGCCCGCCGCTTGTAAGGTGTTTTTGAGGGCTTCTGTTTGCGTAACGCCATGGTGACTTGGGCTGCTGGACCCCGGCGCAACTTTTGGGTGCACTCGTAGGAGGTGATGAAGTTTTACCGAGAGACGAAATAAACAATTGTATCGGGCCACTTGGTAAGGATCCATCTTGCTAGGAAGCGCATGCCACTATTACACAGACCTCACAACACAAGCGCTTAACTTCAACTGAACGTTTATTGCAAACGTCAGAGTTTATAGAAAAAGAATAGTAAAAGGTAGACAACTAAAAGCACACGTGCCAGTCCCGCACATTACTATCTGTTATTCTCTATCACCCCATCCAAAACACAGTTCTTTCCGCGTGAGCGCGATAGAGAGTGCACAAACACACTCAAAATCATCGCGTGTCATTTCCTTTCATTTCTTTTGAAACAGAACAAGTTTTTAAGCCATATTCTGGACAGTTTTTTTTTTGCAATAAACGTTTAGTTGAAGTTAAGCGCTTGTGTTGTGTGTTCTGTGTAATAGTGGCTGCGCTTCCTAGCAAGACAGACGAAATAAATTGTGTTAGAAGCACCAAATGAAATGCGCTAACGGCGGGTTCTCTCTCTCTCTTCTTTTTTACCTTACGTTTGTTTTTCGATTCAAAAGTATTAAATTTACTCTGTCCCTGTGCTGACCCGTTCAGGTGTCATCGTAAAGATAGACGGTTACGTGTGGAGCTTCACAGTAACTAATGACAACGCTTACATGCCCTTTTCTGTCTCTTTCGGTGCCGAGCTGCGTGATTTGGTTGTCTCTGTGCAGCATTTGGCGTTGCGCACTGGTGGCTAACTGATGTCGCGAGGAAATATATATAAATATAGACAAAAACAAACACGCTTGAGGGTACGAACAGAGCCATCGTGACTGCGAAGCGAAGCCCGGCCGCGTCACCTGTTTGGGTGGTCCTTAGAAGGACCGTTTGGGGAATGCGGCGAGCGCGCGGAAGGGGTGCTCGCTTACGCCTTCTTCTCCGTCTTCTTCGGAAGAAGCACGGCTTGAATGTTGGGCAACACACCGCCCTGCGCGATGGTGACGCCGGAAAGCAGTTTGTTCAGCTCCTCGTCGTTGCGGATGGCGAGCTGCAAGTGACGGGGGATGATCCGGGTCTTCTTGTTGTCACGAGCGGCGTTGCCCGCCAGCTCGAGCACCTCGGCGGCCAGGTACTCGAGTACGGCAGCCAGGTAGACCGGGGCGCCCGCTCCGACGCGCTCGGCGTAGTTTCCCTTGCGTAGGAGGCGGTGAATACGGCCCACGGGGAACTGAAGCCCCGCGCGGCTAGAACGGGTCTTGCTCTTGCCTTTCGCCTTGCCGCCCTTGCCACGTCCGGACATGGTGTTGCTTTTCGCTAGCCGGTTGCCGAAAAGAGGAAGAAAGCTGCTGCCTTCTAAGATGAGAGCCGTGCTCGAATGGTGGTGGTGGTAGTGGTTAGAAGATGAGAAAAGGCACCTAATTTCTGCAACCCGGTCGGGAGCACGGCGCAGTGCCTGCGGGGAAGGGAAAAAGGGAGAAAAGTGGAAAGAAGAGGAAAGATTAATTGAGCAGTGGAGCGGTCATCATCAACAGAAGCAGCAGTCCAGAAGCAAAGGTAGGGGTGGCAAGGGCCCCATCCTCAGCGGTAGGCCACGATTCCCGTCTCGTCCAGGAACTCCACCAGGCTCCGGAGTGCTGGTAGATGGGGACGAGATGGGAACAGTAGGTGCTCTAGGGTGGTGGCAGGAAGGCCATGTCTCCGGTAGGCTGCGGTGACCCTCGAGCGTTCCTGGGCCAAGGCAGGGCAGGCACAGAGGAGGTGCTCGAGGGTCTCGGGGTCGCCGCAGCGGCTGCAGGCTGGGGAGGCGCTGCATCCCTTGAGGTAGCGTCGGGCCGCAGTCCACACGCATCCGGTTCGCAGCCGCAGCAGGTTGGCTCGTTCTCTCCTGGTTAGGCCTGCCTCAGGAAGACGCCTGGGTCCCCGCCCATTGGCCACCCTCTGGTCTGGGTGGACTGAGGCGAGGAGCTTCTTGATACGGGCCTGCGAGTAGTCTCTCACCGCCACGGTTTGGGTGATGGGGGTTCCCAGCTGATGTGCTGCCTTGGCCAGCGTGTCCGCCTCCTCGTTGCCAGCTATGCCCACGTGAGAGGGCAGCCAGTGGAAGGAGACGGACGTCCCGGCTGCTGCTAGGGCCCGATACTTGGTTGCCAGGAGACTCCCCGTGAGCCCGGCACGGCGATGGTTGGCCAGTGTCTGCAGGGCTGCCTTGCTGTCGCACAGGACTGCGACCGGTTGAGCGGGAACGTCCTCGGCCAGCAGGTCCGCCACCAGGTGTAGCCCTGCCAGCTCCGCAGCCGTCGAGCTCGCCGGGAAGGGCAGTCGGCACTGCCTGCTGATGGCCCGGGATGGGATGACGCAGGCGGCCGCCGCTGAACCGTCTGGCATGACGGATCCGTCGGTGAAGACCTGGAGCCGCCCTGCCAGTTGCTGCTGGAGCTTGGAGACGGCGGCCTGTTGCAGTGCTGCAGCAGGTGTTCGGCGCTTGGTTACCCCGTCCAGGTGCAGGTGCACCTCAGGCGGCTGGTGGTGGGGTGGTGGAGGGGCCACCGGGACTGGCGGGTCCGGGACCATCTGGTGGTAGAGTGCACAGAGACCACCCATCCGTGACCTCGGCTGGCTGCGAAGTCGCTCCAGGAGGGTTCTGCCGTCGGCGGCACGGTGTAGGCGGTCTACGTGCCCCAGAGCACGCTGGAGCATGTGCAGAGACAGGGGCCACTCTCCAGCCTCGGCCAGGGTCGCTGCCACGGGGGAGTACCTGGGGAGCCCCAGGATGGCCCTCACTGCTCTCCTGTGATGTCCCTCCAGGTCCAGTCTCCTGGCAGGCGTCAGGTCCACCAGTGGAAAGGCGTATAGCAGGACTGAGGACGCTGAAGCCTGGTTGAGTCGAAGCGCCAGCTTGGTCGAGCAGCCATGTCCACGCTGCTGCAGCTTGCTGATGGCTCCCTGGACTCGCCGTACTTGTGTGCAGGCGACCTTGGCAGCTGGGACCCAGGTGAGACGGTGGTCGATGGTGAGCCCCAGGTACTTCACTGTCAGCTTCCAAGGCAGGTTGCGGTTGCCCACTCTCAGCTGCTTCACGTAGCGTCGTGCTGCGGCCAGCGGGTGGATCAGCAGGGCCTCGGTCTTGGTTGCGGAGACCTTGAGTCCGATGCCACTCAGGTAGGCGGACACCGCATCCAGGGCCGCCTGCAGTGACGTCCTGATGGCTGGAATGGACCGCCTCGGTCCCCGGGCCCAGAGTGCCACGTCGTCGGCGTAAACAGAGCAGCGGGCCGCGAACCTGGTGCCTGTCGGAAGAGAAGCGGGGAGTCCAGCCATCGCCAGGTTGAACAGGAAGGGGCTCAGCACGGAGCCCTGTGGTACACCTGCGGTGATGTCTCTGGGTTTGCTGGTCTCCTTGCCAACTCGAACCCGGAAGGTCCTGCCGGTCAGGAAGGCAGTCACGAAGCTGCGGAGGCACCCGTGAACGCCAAGTCGGTCCAGAGACGTCTCGACGACCTCGTGTGGGAGACTGTCAAAGGCACTCTCCACGTCCAGCAGGAGCAGCATGGCCACGTCACCACAGCTCTTGGCATCCTCAAGGGTGGCGACGACGTCGGAAATGGAATCAGCTGTGCACCGGTGGCGCCTGAAGCCAGTCAGTTGTTCCGGGAAGAACTCGAGTTGGCCAGCAATCCACTCAAGTCGCTCCAAGGCCACCTTCTCCAGCACCTTGCAGGGAGCCGAGGTGAGAGAGACTGGCCTGTACGAGGAGAGTGCCATGGCTTTCTTCCGGGGCTTCAGGATCGGGGCGACGACCGCAGTGCGCCATGACTCCGGTAGGACCCCACTGCTCCAGACGTCGTTGTAGTACTCGAGCAGGTGCTGGCGGCCAGCTCCGTCCAGGTTACGGAGCATCTGGAAGGTGACACCATCAGCTCCCGGGGCACTTCGTCTTTTCGATCCTGCAAGGGCAGCCTCCAACTCGTGTTTCCTGATGGGTTCGCAGCACAGCTCTTGTACTTCTGCAGCTGTCCACCCAGGATGGTGGCAAGTGTCAGGATACTGCAGCGCAGCAAGGGGAGGTGCAGCAGGCAGCTGGGCAATGTCCCTCGCAGAAAACTGGTCGGCCAGCTGTTCTGCCAGGTCCGCTGCCTGGATGGAAAGGTGGACGGCCAGGGACATCACTTGGTTGAACGGCCGTGGCACCATCAGCAGGCACTTCAGCAGGCGCCAGGCCTTGGTGCCATCCCGTGATCGGTCGATGGAGGCGCAGACGCCCACCCAGCCCTGCTTCCTGCGCGCTCGGGCGTGGCGTCTGCAGGCGGCGTCGACCTTCCGGAACGCTGTCCAGAGCTCTGGTTGTCTCTTCTTCAGAGCCTGACGTTCTGCCCGCCTCCGTGCTGCTCTCAAGGCTAGGTGCCGGATGTCTGGAACAGGCTGCCCTTGCTGCGCCTTAACAGCGACAGTTGCAGTCCGGGCACTGTCAGCCACCAGCTGCATGAGGTCCTTGTCACCGGTGTCCTGCCTGAGCAGCTGCCGGTATACCCGCCAGTCTACCACCCGGTACTCTCGATCCCTGGGGGCCTTGCCTCGGTAAGGGGTGAGAAGGATGGGCAGGTGGTCCGAACCCCAGGTGTCCGGGAACGGTGTCCAGGCGTACCGGCAACCCTCCGTAGCCACGCTGAGGTCTATGGCTGTGGTGGTGCTGTTTGCTCCGCGACGCAGGTAGGTGACGGCCCCTGTGTTCAGGATCACCAGGCCCAGCTGCAAGAGGACGTCTCGCACCTCTCGCCCTCGTACATCGGTCCTGCGGCCGCCCCAAGCTGGATGGTGAGCGTTGACGTCTCCACACAGCAGGAAGTCCTTCCCTAGTTGGTGCGCAAGCTGCCGAAGACACCCGGGGTCCCAAGGTTCCTTTGGTCTGATGTAGACGCTGGCCACCGCAGTGTCAACACCGTCGAGGCGGACCCGGACGGCGCAGCACTCGAAGGGCCCTCCGGCCAGGTCGGCCACGAATACCTCCGCCTGCAGCAGGTCCCGCTTGACGTAGATGGCACAGCGGGAAGGTCCTTGTGGGTGGTTGTCGTCCAGGCAAGGGGCAGCACTGCAGTCGGTCAGGGTGCAGCTCGTCCGGCTGCTGTAGCCGACGTAGCCTGGAAGTCGGAGCTGCTCTGCCTGGGCGTAGACCTCCTGGAGTGCAAGGACGTCATAGTCGTTGTGGAGCAGGTGTTGTGCGAGGTCGTCTCTCCGTGGTCCCAGCCAGTGGGCGTTCCACTGGAGGACGCTCGGGCGTCGGGGCTGACGTTGCCTGGTGGGAGGACTAGCCATGCTGGTTGTTCTGTTGCCAAGCCCCTGCCTGCAGGCAGATGGCACGAAGCGGGTGCTCTTGTGGAAGCAAGGCAGCGACTGCCTGCAAGGAGAGCAGAAGGGGGCCCAGAAGTTGTTCCACTAGAAGTGTCGGGGCAGAGGTCTCAGCAGTCTGGGCCCTGGGAGTGGCGGTTGCGGGTGTGCAGACTTGAGCAGGAGGTCGGTCAACAGGAGCGGCTGGGGTTGCAGGCTCAGCTGGAGTGTTGGTTGCAACTGCAGGGGTTGGCCGGCGGAGGTTGCGTGGTGCTGGGGTTGGTCTGGCTGATGCCGCGTGGCCCTTCACTGCACTGGCATAGGACCGAACCTCCCTCGTCTCTTCCCTCACAACTGCCGCGACTGCTCGTCTTGAGAGGGCTGTGGTCGAAGAGGCCATGATGGTAGCCACTCGTCTCTGCTCCTGCCAGCGAGGACAGTCTGGTGTGTCAGCACGATGAGGGCCCCCGCAGTTCACACAACGGAGATGCTGGCAGTCCGACTCTCCTGGGTGAGACCGGCCGCAACGGATGCAGCTGTCTGGCCAGTTGCAGGTCTCCCTCACGTGGCCGTACCGGCCACACTGCCTACACTGGAGTGGCCGTGGTCTGGCTGGTCGGACTGGGAAGCGTACTCGGAACAGTGTCACGTGGTCTGGGGGAACTGGGCCCTCGAAGCGCAGCGTGACGGTTCGGCCTTCTCTAGATGCCGAAAGGACCCGTACAGCCGACTGGAGTCCGGACAGCAAGTTCTCGTCAGCAGCGTCGCCGTCCACACCGTGGAGGAATCCCATACTGGTTCGGCGGTCTGCAGGCTGCCTGGCGGTCACTGGTATGCCCTTGAGCTCTGTGAGGGCCAAGAGCTTGACAAGGCATTCCTGGGAACTCACGTCCACTGCTACCACGTTGCGGTGTTGGTTCACCCGGATCGCAGCGACTCCCGGGTGCAGCGAGAGTGCCTGGGCTATGGTCAGTCTGGGGCAGTTCCGGAACGAGCCTCCAGCAGAAGCAGGCCGGTAGAGCA